AGTTAAATATAAGTGCTGAAAATCAGGTTAAAGATCTCCGACCTCTCGCTGGAATTACATTATTCAAAGCGTGTTGTGTTCGGCTTTCCAGAGTTTGTAGCTTAAGCTGTCGAATTCTTGCAGTAGGAGGCCAATAGATAATGAAGATGTTTCTTGGACAGCTTGTAACTGTTGGCCACAGTGTTGAAATCCAGCCTCTCTGTCTGGAGTCCATATATCCACGTATGTCAAAGCAAAGAATGCAGAGATATCAGGAGTCGACCTCAAGACCTCGCAGCACTCGTGGATCCAGCCTTCTCCGTTTCTGCACGCGAGCAGATGCATGTGTGCACGTCATTCACATGCTCTGCTGTTACTATGATTATAATTACAGGAATGCCAAATGAAATGTTGTAAACATTTTCAATTTCAGTCTGAAGATTCTACATCATGCTAATTTGTGAAATGTTTTATATACTTAATGAGGAACGTTCTGTTTTTGAAAGGCTGCATTTATTTGATCAGTAAAATTGTGAAATATTTTTATAATTTAAAATAGCTGTTTTCTATGTGAATATATATTCAAATGTAATTTATTTTTATGAAGCAAAGCTGAATTTTCAGCATCATTACTCCAGTCTTCAGTGTCACACGATCTTCAGAAATTATTCTAATATGCTGATTTGCTGCTCAAGAAACATTTCTGATTATTATCAATGATGAAAACAGTTGTGCTGCTTCATATTTTTGTGGAAACTGATACATTTTATTTTTCAGGATTCACAGATGAATACAAAGTTCCAAATAACAGCATTTATTTCAAATAGAAATCTTTTGTAACATTATAAATGTCTTTACTGCCACTTTTGGTCAGTTGTATTCAGTCTTTGTCAATATTCAATACATGTCTAAATATTTCACTGTATTTCTGCTTAGATTTCTCTTAAACAGCTGAGAAAGTCAGGCAGTTGATCATTACATATGGTTTAATCAGTTGTGCATGTATTTGTCTGAACTTGAATGTTTTTTGTTGTTTTTCTTTCAAGCCTCTACAGTTTTTTTCCTGCTCCCTCTCTTCGACCTCTGACCTTCAACTACTGTTTCACCCCATCACCGTGCTGTTGTTTGACCCCACTTCCCCTATTTTCTTTATTAATTAACCCCTTGATCCATAAACATTTGTTAGTCTTAGAAAAACATTTCTCCGCAAAACGAGCAATGCAGAATACCCTGCTGTCATAATTGTGATGTTTTAGAATTGACATTTTTTTGAAGCACTATTCCAAAAACATGAATTGAGATTGAATTGCTAAAAATAAGTTTCACATTTTTCAGAGCACACCAAGTAGAGATATTGAACCGAATCAAATATGCTATTAAAATAAAATACGTAACTGCAACTTCTAATCAAACATTTTTCTCGCAATTGAGACTTTATATATCACAATTCCGACTTGTTTTTTTTTTCTCGGAATCTTAAGGTTTTCCTCGCAATTCTGACTTTGTTCCTGAGTTTATATCTCACGGTTTATATCTCTGAATTTATCTCACAGTCACAGTTATATAAAGTAAAAAAGTATTTGCGAGTTTATATATCACAATTCAAAAAATGTAACTGCAACTTCTAATTGAACAATTCTGACTTTTTTCTCGCAGATGTGAGTATATATCACAATTCCAACTAGCTTTATAACTCGCAATTCTGACTTTTTTTCCTGGGAATTCTAAGTTTAAACCTAACAATTCAGTTTATATAAAATAAAAAGGTACTTTTATGTACAGTTTATGTATCACAATTCTGACTTTTTTTTCTGCAAGAGTGTGTCTTGCAATTCTGTTTATTTCTCACATTTCTGACTTTAATTCGGAGTTTACATCTCACAATGCGGCTTATATAAAATAAAAAAAGTAATTGCAACTTTTTACCTCATGAGACATAAACTCAATTCTGAGAGAAAAAATCTGAATTGTGAGAAAAAGTGGCAATTACCTTTATTATTATTTTTTTTTATTCCGTGGTGGAAACGGGCTTCCGTAGTTTTTGCAGCAATGCAAAAGAACCTTTTTTTGGTTCCCCAGAAAACCTTTCAAAACCATTTTTTTCTTGGTGTGAAGAACATTTTAATATTCTAAAGAACGTTTTTCCACTATATAGAGCCTTTTATGCAGTGGAAATGATCCATGAATGTTAATGGTTATTCATAGAACCACCAATGCCAATAAGAAACCTTGTTAAGAGTGTATACTAAAATACGAAAACTAATTTTATTCTTTTCAGGCTAACCAGAGAACAAAAGTTGCACACATCCAAATATGAAATAATAAACTCCAGGGGAAACTCCCAAATAGCATTGAAGAACTGTTGCACTCCAGGAGAATAATCCATCCCGATATCTCATAAATGTTATTCCATTTTGGACCACTTCTCATACACGCCCCTGAATTCCACAGTCCGTGGCCCAGACATGGAGCGTCCGCTGATAGCGCACTTTATAAATCATTGCATTGGTTTTTTCCCCCCCGTCCTCGCTACGTTTGCACAGGAAGTGGAGGAAATCTGCTCCTCGTTATTTACTTTTGGGTTTGGTTATTTGATTATCGGCTGTCTGCATGCACTTTTCTCTGATTGCACGGAGAAGGATGTGCACCTCTCTGTTTTTAAAGCCTAATGGGACTCACCTTGAGCCGAATATGCAGATGCTTAAAGCCTGTGCTCTTGCAACATCTGGTTGTTGTATTAACGTGTCCGTTGAACTTTCAAAGGGATTTACGGCCTCTCTAGAAGTCGCCCTGTGGTGAAAATTTCTTACCAATGGCTTTTGTACATCTGTGCCTCCCAGTGCCATAGCAACCACTAATTATAGCATTCCATGGATTCCCTTTTTAAGACGACGAGGAAGAAAATTGCAGCCACCTCTTGGCCCTGTGACCCTATGTTCCCATCACTGTGTAATATTCCTCGAAGAGAGAAATATTGGTTGTTGTTGTGGTTCTTCAAGGATGAGTGATACTGCTGCTCATATTTAGAGTATTCAGGATCCTGCACCATTTGTGCTCCAGATTAGGCATTTCTCTCAATGCACCTGCATGCACAGGCCATTAATGCGTCTATATATTACATGAATGCATGAAGGCGGTTGATTGTGAACAGCTGTGCATTGGGCGCATGGTGATGCCGTTTTGGTGATCTGGATCATCGTGAGCTGGATTACAGATCATGACAGAAGCGGTCTGAGAGAGAATGAGCATCTGTAAGGCATGGCTCCATCTCAGCATGTGCATAGGCGTCTTCCCTCTGATTAAAGAGACTTCCTGTCTGTGGAACAGGATGTGCTGTCAGCAGCAGTCCTGCCCTCTGTCAGTAATAATGATAACGGTCATTTCAATCGCAGATCTCTAATGGCAGCAATGTGAGGAGGCTGAAATTGTGTGCTGCAGTGTGCTCTGGAATTAATAATTAGTGAGGTTTTTTGTTTCATTAAAGCTGTCTAAATCTGACAAGAATCAGACTGCAAGTCGTGAACCACTAGATTATGGTTTTGGGTGACGGGGATTTGAGGCTTTATCTGGATAACTATCAGCATAAAGAGCAATTGTATATAGACCATAGTCAGAGTAGATAGCATATTTTATTTTATACAAATATATTTTTTAATGATTTAGCTTTTCATGCAGAGCTGTTAAATGCATTGATTTAAATTTTAAATACTCTCCTTATCCTGCTTTTCAGTCACCAAGATGACAGGTGGTCCAAGGATCATTATGATCGAAAGAAAAGACAAGCGGAGTGGGATTTTAGTAAAGACAGTTTCTTCTGTGATGTACCAGGTGAGTTCTGGATTTTCAAAAATACTGTAAAAACAGTCCATTTAAAAGAACCGTTTTCTATTTTATTTTATCATGTAATTTATTCCTGTGATGGCAAAGCTGTATTTTTATTTTTGATCAATTGGATGTGTCCTTGTATAAATTTCTTTCAAAAATAAATAACAATAAACATTTTTAGAGCATTTATTAATCTTGGTCAATGCAAATGTATAAATAAACTATTGCTGGTTGTTAGTTTATAATGTTAATCTTAACCTATACAATTTATAATGCTAAAAATTTTTATGTAAAAATCAATATTAACTAGGATTAACCAATGCAATCTAGTATTATTCCTTGATAGTTATATATATATACAGTATCTCAGAAGTGAGTACACCCCTCACATTTTTGTAAATATTTTATTATATCTTTTCATGTGACAACACTGAAGAAATGACACTTTGCTACAATGTAAAGTGGTGAGTGTACAGCTTGTATAACAGTGTAAATTTGCTGTCCCCTCAAAATAACTCAACACACAGCCATTAATGTCTAAACCGCTGGCCACAAAAGTGAGTACACCCCTAAATGAAAATGTCCAAATTGGGCCCAAAGTGTCAATATCACTCCCCGGTGTCATGTGACTCATTAGTGTTACAAGGTCTCAAGTGTGAATGGGGAGCAGGTGTGTTAAAGTTGGTGTTATCGCTCTCACTGTCTCATACTGGTTACTGGAAGTTCAACATGGCACCTCATGGCAAAGAACTCTCTGAGGATCTGAAAAAAAGAATTGTTGCTCTACATAAAGATGGCGTAGGCTATAAGAAGATTGCCAAGACCCTGAAACTGAGCTGCAGCACGGTGGCCAAGACCATACAGCGGTTTAACAGGACAGGTTCCACTCAGAACAGGCCTCGCCATGGTCGACCAAAGAAGCTGAGTGCACGTGCTCAGCGTCAT